TGTTAAACTCTTAATTCCAGATTTTCTAATGAATTCAAATTTCAGTATCTGTCGTGGTGGGATTTGAACACGGGTCTCCGGATTAACAGTCCAGTGATTATTACAGTAGGCCATCACCTTCCCTCCCCCTCATTTTTTTCTTATTTCAAATTGGCAAAACCACTTGCTGACCAACAATTTGTGGGCATCAGTGACCCTTCATGCCAGGCTATGTGTCATTCTTAGCCTTTTTAAATAATTTTTCCGGTGGCACACAACCTTGCTGCAATGATCAGTACGAAGAAAAATAAGGGGGAACTGGTTGAATAGACCTGCTGCAGAAAGGCAGTGAGAAGCTTTACGACACTGAGGATGGTTTTGTTTATTGGTTTGTCAATTAATTTATTGAATATTTAATGTTATTTCTTTTGCCATCACAGATTAATTGTGCCGGACTTATTTTCACTTGCAGACTTCTCCCAGCAAAAAGCCTCTGTTGAAGAGAGGTTCAGTGATAGGGAATTACCTGGTGGAAGACAAGCCAGTCAAACGGTTAGACCTGTGCCAGTGCAAATACAAATGCATGCAATAAATTGTGTCCCGTATTGATGGAGTTACTTTTGTTTCCTAGAGTTGCTGCTACTTCAGCCATGGTATTGCATGAGATCTTCATATAATTGCCTGCATCCTGAACATTTCCATGTGTGGGATTGCTGTTTCTGCAAGGCTTTGTGCTCACTAATTCATGTAGCCAAGGTGTTAAAATTGTAGACCATTTAACATCCTTCATGTGAATATATTACAAATTTTTCAGGAGCGAGGAAATCACTTTGCTTAATGTATGACATTAATCTGGCACTGATGCTCTCCACTATGTTGCACATGGAAATTTTTGGATATAGGCCCATGCCCACAGTGAAACAACAGAGCAAGGTCCAGAACTCCACAGCACTGTCAGGGAGAAATGCAGAGGGAAGGGCATTTTGGAACCCTGTGACCCTAAATTGTTCTTGGGTGCCTCCACAGGCTGTTTCTGAGTGATTGTACATGCTGTAGTGTAAGTTGCCCATTTATCTTCTCGGTTGTGAAATGACCCTTGGTGACATGAGGAAACTTGGGGAAGTGATGTGTGGGAGCAAGTGCCCTGTGAGAAGCTGGGAGAGAGAATGTGAATGCAGCATTGCGGAGTTGTTAAGAAGATCAGGGCACACTGAGTTTGAGGAACAGTAAGCTTGCTCCACTTCACTTATTGCCTCAGATTCACGGCCTCTGGAGGAAGAAATGCCACATTCTTCTTCATCTTGTGTGAAGAGATGGTTAGAGAATTTTTCTCCTAAATAGACTAACTCTAATTTTAAGATCATGCCCTGACATTCCCAGATCCCCACCTGAGGAAATAATCCAACCACTGCATTGATGACATCTCCAAATTCAATAGGATTAGCTAGGCATGACTTTCAGGATCTTTTAACAAGGCCCTGTTTCCCGCTACCTTTCTTCGATCAGCCTCATATCTGCTCAAGTTCTCAGTTGCTCCATCCTTTGAAAGAAAAGCAGTGAATTTTACAAATGTACATCAACATGAGTTCAAAACAGCGGTTAATATTTCAAAGTGATTCTTTGTCAAGCCTTGAAAATCTTCTTGACACAGTTAGTACACTACCATTGCCTCTTTGGTTTAGACCCAGGGCGGACTAGATGAAGTGAAGATTTCCATACAGTGAAAAATGAAACTAATTTTGAATAACTCCGAACACGTTAGGTGGGTCTAGGAACATGGTACAGAATTACACAAAGTTAAGCACTAACAGCATTATATTGGTAGTCTGGCTCTGAAAGGTTAAGGAATGTCACATTCGTAGAATGGAGTTGCTTTTATGTAGGTTTAAGAAAATGAAGGAGATTACTGTAATCCTGCAGCTATCTCATCAGATCTATCTGATTTTGGAGATTTTCAGAAGACTTCAGTTTCCAAATAAGGGTTTATATCTATCAGTAGTAAGATCTTAAGACAACTTAAAGTGCCAGTCGACTAGTATAAGATAGAACTTCATGCCAGCATTAAACTTTTGGACATTGGAAGGTTATGTGGCAATTCTGCAAAGTTATTTAGCTCACAGAGGCTCTTTGATATTCAGAGCAATTTGATGATTTCTGGCAAATTCTTAAAATCATTCATGCAGCGTCACTGAAATATTAAAGCATTATCCAATTTGTCCACAATATGGATTGGGTGTACTGTGTGTTGGGTTACCAACTGCTGGATACCTTTATTCTGAATTACAAACAGAATTAACTACATTTCTTTCTGCTTCCCTTCCAAACAATTATGGTCTGGATTTTTTTTTATCTTGACTACAAAACAAAAGTGGAAAATCTGGTTCCTGTTCAGTGCTTGGCTCTGCTCTGCTTTGACATCAGATTTGCATGTTAAAAAGGGTCTTTACCTTATTCCAAAATAGCAATTAAGTCTCCCTTAGCCAGTAAATTCTCATGGTACTGATTGGATTGTAACTTGTGCTCAGTGTGTAGAATCACAGAAAACACGATATTGGCTGAGCCTGGTAACATGGCCAAACCTGATTCTTACACTGGAGAGTGCTCAGAAATAGCTACTGTCTGCACAGGTACACTGAGCCAAGACCACAAAAGTAGCAGCTTTCCTCATCATTTATGATGCTAATTCAGGTATCTATCGGCTAACCCTGTGTACACTAGGAATCAAACCTAAGACTTGACTTGCTTTTGTGGTTATTGTACCCTAGTTCAGTTTGCAAATGAGGTGGAGTGCATGGTGAAAAAAAGTTTCATTTGTAAAATAAACAACAGTGTGAATTTATCCTCCCCATCGCTGTATTGCCTCTCTGGCGTTTCCCAAGTTTAAATTGTCTGGAAACTCCCTGTCCACCACACATGGAGTGAATGCGCTCTCTTAAACCTCTGCTGTGTAATGCAAATTCAGAGGAAATTACCGTGAAACTTCATTCTTGAGGAAATTCAGTGTTAGAAATATCCATGCAACATCTTCATGATGTATAATTCAAAATATTTTGTGGTAATTTGTTAGCTTTAGCCTCTTAATTTTAACTTGTAGAAAAATAAACAATTTTAAATGCCTGAAATTTTATGTTTAAGTTATTTTAAAACTTGAGCTGCAATATCGGTTTAAATGCAATGGCTCAAATATTCAATTTTCTCAGATTTTTGCTGCATCTCTATCACAGATTCTGACCTAGTGAAGGGATGTTCTCCTGACTTCCAACCTCAGAGGTTACAATGTGGCTCTTGACCAAGTCCAGCTGGAACTGAAATGGAGTTCTGACTCCATTTTTGAGTCCTGACTGGTAGGCCTGTTCGGAGGCTTTCTAAATGCAAAACTTTAATCGTCCTCACCCTCGCTCCATAGCAACAGAGGCCAAGCAGGTGTTCTTGTGCAGCATGTTGCCAAGGTTTGCATGTGTTGACGGTGCACCTCTGCTATTTCCATAATTTTTAAATATATGTGTATATTGTCAACTCTTCCCTTCCTGAAAGAAACTGGAGATGGATTGGAAAATATGTGTCTGTTTCCCATCCCCACCCACCTGATTTACACTCGGAAACCAGGGGAGGAAAGGAAGGAAACCCAGCCAGCCCATAATGTGCTACTGCTTCCCTATGCTGTTCCTAAAGTGCACAAGAAATTGAGATCCACGTATGCAGACCCAGTGTCCTGCTCGCAATTGAATTTCTGACTTCATTTTAAAAATGGTTGAATATCAGCAACAATATCAAACACCTGATTACAAAGGACCACATTTCAGAATTTTGAGTTTTTTTGGGATATAGTTTTCAGCTGCTGGAATATGGAAGTAACCAATATTTCCCTTGGCTCTGGAATGTTGCACTTTGCTATTTCAATGGAGAGTTATTAATTCACTCAAAATAAATGAGTTCACCTCTTGTCTAAAATTTCAAGGAGTCATTACAGATGAATACATTTAAATTCGGTGTCCTGTGAGGTAATTTGACATATACCTGTGAATTTTCCCAAAGGTAACTGTAGTATTGAATCAGGTTTGGTTTTCTACTTTCCCTGCTCCTGGGCCATTTTAGCTGCTGGTTTTTCAAACAAGTTGCAATGGGCTCACATCTATTGACTTCCACAATATTTCCAGCTTTCCACAGGCTTTTGGGGAAAAATACCGCTGTCAAACCACCCATAGCCTCGGATATGCCTTCGTAAAACAGAAATGTACACAGCAGGCATTAGCAAATAATTGTTCAGGTGAAAATGTTTTAAATTGGTTGGGCGACCAGACATCAGGGTTTTCATTTAAATGACTTGGAATACCCAAACATTTCCGAAAAAAATTAGTCCAAATATTCCAGTTTTCACCTTCTCCCCTCTTCCTTTGGACAAACAAACTGGGTCTGTGAGGTGACCGGGAAAAATCTGTGTTAAATTTTACCCTTCTTCTTGCACACACACATCGTATCATGTTACCAAAAAAGGATTGTTAGACTGTTCTTGGAGATTCAACAGGGTGCTGCAGGGAAGACTATCATTCATTCTTTCCCGCATCACCGTGTTGAATTTCCAAGAAAATTGCCACAATCTTTATAGCACCAACAGTTCCGATGCTGATGACTTCTTTCAAATGATCAACAGAGTAGGGTTGACCACTATGGCTGGGAAATGTTATCACGTGACCCCCCACCTTCAGCTGGGCCTCCATCTGACTCCTGACATTGGTCAACTAATATGTCAACCATCATGGAGCCCCTGTTCCCATGCCTTTCCAGTGATTCCTGCTGCAGGGTTTTGAGAATCTGGTCACCCTATAATTTGCACTGTTGTTATTTTAAAGTGCTTGCATGGAATATATTTCTGTTCTTTTTTTTGTGTGTGGTTGGAACTAATCCTCAGACTTATCAGTTTGATTTTGCTGTATTCATTTCTGTGTCGGTGCTAAATGGACTTCTGCATAGACAGCTTGTTGCTGCAGATCAGTCTCCCATCGCCGCAGAGGATGTGACATTGGAGCCCAGCAAGAAGAACTGCCGATATATCTCCAAGGACACAGGCATGGGGACTGCTGGTGATGAAGAGCCGTGTAGTCCAACATTGACAGAACACCAAAGCCCACTAGACGAGGCTGCAGACTGCAGGGTAGGTGGACTACCAATGCACACCTCAGAAGAGGAAGAATTTGATGACGCCCCACTTTCTCCCAGAGGCCAACCTATTGGCGTTGAAACAGCGGTGAGTGGAGGCAGCTGTACTTTACAGGTTGGTCGCTGTTCCTAAATTTGCTGTTCTGAAAGTATCCCTTGCCCAAAGTAGACAGTCGCCCCAGTTTGAGCTACAGGATCAAAATAATAAATTGGAAATTGCTGAGAAAAAGGAAGCAGCAGTTGAATATAGTTAGGGATATTTTACAATTTCACAACTTGCATTTGGTCTGCAGAGTCCTTAATTTCAGATAAGTGAAATTTATAGTGTTCTACACTGTGTTTAGTCAATATATCAAGGTTCTTTAAACTGTATGTAAAAGCATACAGCACTAGGTATGATCAAAAATGGATAATGGTGTTGAAAGCTTTCTGGTATGTGCCCTTTATCCTGTTCTCCAACAGTAAATACAATGCTGTACATCTGATGATCGTGGTCAAGTACCTGTTGGTTTTTGTACTTGAAATGAATAAACATAATAACATATGACTTAAATTTATTATTATGGCTTTCATTTGTTGTAGTTGAGATTGAAAGAAATTCTATTTGGGATAGAACTAGTAGTCACCTGGAAAGAGATTGGTTGTTTAGGAAAGGCCAATATGGATTTCTAAAGAGAAATATTAGTTTGACTAAAATGTTGAAGATTTTTGAAGAGGTACCAGAAAGGGTCAATGAGGTTAATGTGATGCAATGAGGTTGTTATAATTCTGGATGATGATATCACCGGATAATTCAGAACCCAGACAACAATCTGGTTTGATAGATCATATTTAGTTTTATTTTTGGTTTTAATGAAGCACTGTTTTTATTGAAACACAAACACTCAATGCTGCAGATGTGGTCTTAATAATGAAATAGAAGACAATTATGCAAAAGAAGAGGATAAATTTTAATGAAACTATTTACATATCACACAAGTTTAAAGATTGCAAAACAGATGGTGTTTAATGGGATTGTATTTTATCAGCATTGCTCAAGCCAAAAGAGAATTTCGTACTCTGTGATACATAGGGGTTAATGTAACAGAGATTCCCATTCCAAAGAATCTGATAGCCTCTCCCTTGAACCTTCATACAACTGAACGTTTCTCAGCTTCAAATAAACCCTTCAGGATTTTAACCAAATACTCCTGGACTGGACTAAACTCCTTACACTGATGTAATCTATTTCTTAACAGTTCTAAACTATCTGACTTCTTTAGGAGCAACTGTTTTATATATCCAGCTTCAGTCAAGACTTCTGCAAATTTGCCAAAATGAAACCCACAGGCTTTTTCCAAACTATAGGCATTTCTTCCAATCAAAGGGGAAAAAAATCTCTAACCTTATAAAGTGGAAGCCATATTTACTGTTGTTTACTTTGTTTCCTTTCTCTCTCTCTCTGTTTCTCTCTCACTCTCTGTTTCTCTCTCTCTCTCTGTTTCTCTCTCTCTGCTTCTCTTTCTCCCTCTCTCTCTTGCTCCCTCTCCGAGTCCCCCTCTCTCTCTTCCCTCTGTCTCTCACTCTCCGTGTCTCTGTGTGTGTGTCTCTGTGTGTGTGTGTCTGTCTGTCTCTCTCTGTCTCTGTGGCTACAGAAGTATGAACAAGTTATGATGAGGAAGAAACCATGGATACCTACAAAGGATGTACTGGCAAGGCCGCCGACTGCACCCTCCTTCAGCTCAGTTACTGACACTGCAATGGGTAGTTTGGCAGGTTCGAGTCCAGAGCAATCACTGTCATGTCTCTGCAGCTATCAAAGAAGAAACACAGCAGGATGCTGGCTTTCAGAGCATAGCCAGAGACTAGGCATCTGTTTCATCCCAGGCCGCAGAGAACTCCATGATGTGGGCCTGAAGACCTTATTCTATATACACAGGAACAGGATTGTTGAGGGCAGTGCCAACCCGAGACACAGAAGCATAATGACTACAACAAAAGCTTCTGGAATGCTCGTGTCCGGCTCTCTTTACAGACAGGTTGGCAGCTGGCTCAGGAAGCCAGGTCCAGTGCACTCGGCGTCTCCTGGATATCTACACAGATCAGAAACCCCTTGCTCTGGCCACTATTTTTCAGCCCCAAAGGCATGGCATTGGAAGGCGGGGTTGTGGGGTAGCGGACTGCAGGGGTTATGGGGTAGACCTTGTCCCCGAAGTAGCCCTTCATCATAAGGAGACACAGCAGTGCTAATAGGCACCCAGGTGGAAGAGGAACCACACACAGGCCTCAGAAACACTCCAGGGATTTTCACCTCCGCCATGTCTGCCAGCCTTAACACTGTGGGGTTGAAACTGGTAGAGTGCACCTGCCTCTGGCAGGACATCCTCCCCATGTCTGACCCCCAGGGTCATGTGACTAAGCTCCAAAGCCAATGGGCTCCAATGTAGACCAGACTCCCCCCACCTGAGCTGCAGACCCTTGGCGCTACTTTGAGGCACAGTAAGAGGTAAAGAAAGAAAACCTTCTGAGGGCAAATAGATGGCACAGGTAATACTTCATTGCAAATATGTTCTCATATTTGTAAATGTCTGTTCACTTATCATCAGCTGTGTGTGCAAGTGCCGGGTCCACTGCTTCCTGTCATTTATCTAAATGATTGGGTGTGAATATAGGAGGAATGGCTAGTAAGTTTGCAGATGACACCAAAACTGGAGGTATGGTGGACAGTGAAGAAGGTTATCTCGGAGTACAATGTGATTTTGATCAGATGGGCCTATGGGCTGAGGAGTGACAGATGGAGTTTAATTTCGATAAATGTGAGGTGCTACATTTTGGAAAGTCAATTCAAGGCAGGACTTATACACTTAATGGGGGAGTGAAGCTGAACAAAGAGACTTTGCAGTGCAGGTGCATAGTTCCTTGAAAGTGGAGTTGCAGTTGGACAGGATAGTGAAGAAGGCGTTTGGTATGCTTGCCTTTATTGGTCAGTGTACTGAGTATAGGAGTTGGGAGGTCATGTAGGGGCTGTGTAGGACATTGGTTAGACCACTTTTAGAATACTGTGTGCAGTTCTCATCTCCTTGCTACAGGAAAGATGTTGTTAAATTTGAAAGAGTTCAGAAAAGATTTACAAGGACATTGCCAGGGGTGGAGGGTTTGACCTATAAGGAGAGGCTGAATAGGCTGGGGCTATTTTCCCTGGAGCGTCGGAGGGTGAGGGGTGACCTTACAGAGGTTGATAAAACCATGAGAGACATGGATAGGGTGAATAGTCAATGTCTTTTCCCTGGGGTGGGGAGTCCAAAACTAGAAGGCATAAGTTTAAGGTGAGAGGGGAAAGATTTAAAAGGGACCTAAAGGGGCAAGTTTTTCACAGAGGGTGGTGCATGTATGGAATGAACTGCCAGAGGAAGTGGTGGAGGTGGATACAATTCCAACATTTAAAAGGCATCTGGATGGGTATATGAATAGGAAGGGTTGAGAAGGATATGGGTGAAATGCTGACAAATGGGATTAGATAAACTTGGAATATCTGGTTGGCATTGATGAGTTGGACTGAAGGGTCTGTTTCCATGCTGTACAGCTCTATGACTCTAAGTATCTGTCTAGCTACAACTACCAGAATGAAGGTACAGAGGCTCGTCATCCACGGTGCTCCATGAGGTTTAAAAACCCAAATTGTCATATGAGCAGCTCCTGAACCATGGGCAGGCTAAGGGAACATAGAAAGAGCTTGCTACTTTTGCAACTGGTGTATAACTTTCCAGACTGCAAAGCATTACTTGTGTATCACAGCCATTACTGACAGATTCCTGATGCTGCATGGTGTGGTCAGGAGTGCTTGGGACGAGCATTTCTATTCCGCATGGCCGGTTAATGCCTAAGGTTCACGTACATCATGTCGTGCCCACTGCTGTCTGTCCCCGGTACTGTAAAGGTGTCTGTGTGATGCTGTTGCCCTTTGAAGGGCTTCCCCTCAGAAAATGAAGCCTTCCCCTTGTGCACTTGGTATTTTCATCACAATGGAATAAAACCACGGACGCACTTCACTCAGAGTCTCAGGTCCTCTGCCCCCTTCACTCTACCACCCCAGCCTTGCCCCTCACACTCTGCCTCCCTATTCTACCTCTCTCTACTCTGTCTGCACCTCATCTCCACTCTGTGGCCTTCCTCTACTCCGCAGTCCTCCACCCACCTACATTCCAAACTTCACTGCCAGATGTGCAAAGTAGATAGTCCAACTTGGCTTCCTTCTGAGGTACTCACCATCACTGTTACCATCATGAACCAATTCAATTCATTCCGTGTGATTATAGCAGAATGGCTGAGCGTGTCAGGACATGGCATGGTCTATCCTTGTGCCACCCCGTAGCCCAGCTGGCCCAGTACAACACTGGCATTTACCTGACAAAGTGGAAAATCCAACCAGATATCCACTGCCCAAGTGGTGCGGTGGCTCAGTGGTTAGCACTGTTGCCTCACAGCGCCAGGGACCAGGGTTCAGTTTCATCCTTGGGCAACTGTATGTGTGGAGTTTGCAAATTCTCCATGTGTCTATGTAGGTTTCCTCTAGGTGCCCTGGTTACCTCCCATAGTCCAAAGATGCACAGGTTAGGTGATTGGCCATGCTAAATTCCCCATAGTGTCCAGGGATGTGCAAGTTAGGTAGATTAGCCATGGGAAATGCAGGGATACAGGGATAGAGTAGGGGGGTGGGTCTAGGTAGGATTCTCTTTAGAGGGTTGGTGTGGAATCGATGGGCTGAATGGCCTGCTTCCACACGTTAGGGATTCTATGATATATTCTGGCCCTAAAAGAAGGTCCAACCCTATCTAGCCAGCAACCTTCCAACGACCCTAAACTGGAACATCAGCCATGTGGTGGAAGGTGTTACTGACAATACTATGAAGCAGCAGTTCCTCAGCAATGGTCTGTTTGTTGATGTTCAGTCTGGCTTCTCCTAGTACCATCCAGTCAGAACAGGAGGGAAAAGTGACTGTATTTAACAATATTTGGGATGTTTGGCATCAGGAAATGTTAATAAAACTGGAGTCAGTGGGTATCCGGGGACAATTCTCCACTGTTTGGAGTCATAACCAGCAACAATGTACCATGTTAGAAGTCAATCCTTTCAGCCCTAGGATATTACTGTGGGAGTTTCTCAGAGCGATATCTTTGGTCCAACTATCCTCCGTAGCTTTATGACAGGCCTCCAACATAAGGTGAGAATGAGGATGGTTTCTGGTGTTCACTGATAGTTGCACAATGTTCAGCATCATTCACAACTCCAACTTGTTTGTACTTTCTCAAAACAAGAACTGGACAACATTCAGGTTTGAGCTGATAAGTGATGAGTAACATTCATGGCACAAAAGTGCTAGTCAATGACCACTTCTAATAAGAGAGAATCCACTTTCTGTTCAAGGGCATTGTCATTGCTGAATCCTCCACTGTCAGTGTCCTAAGAGTTACCATTGACTGGAAACTGCTCTGACCAGCCAAATAAACACTGTAGCTACAAGAACCAGTCTGCAGTTGGCAATTCTGCAGTGAGTAACTCACCTTCCGATTGCCAAAGCCATTTATCCACAAGGCACAAGTTTGGAGTGTAAAAACCGAAAGAACTGCGGATGCTGTAAAGCAGGAACAAAAACAAAGCTGCTGGAAAAACTCAGCAGGTCTGGCAGCATCTGTGAAGGA